ACATTGCACTCTGTGGAATGGAGCATCTTAACATTCACAATGCACTCTTTGGATGGAGCATCTTAGCCTTCACATTGCACTCTGTGGAATGGAGCATCTTAGCATTCATATTGCACTCTGTGGAATGAAGCATCTTACCATTCATATTGCACTCAGTGGGATGGAGCATCTTACCATTCATATTGCACTCTGTGGAATGAAGCATCTTAGCATTCTCAATGCACTCAGTGGGATGGAGAATCTTACCATTTACATTGCACTCTGTGGAATGGAGCATCTTAGCATTCATATTGCACTCTGTGGAATGGAGCATCTTAGCCTTCACATTGCACTCTGTGGGATGGAGCATCTTACCACTCATAATGCACTCTTTGGGATGGGTATCTTAGCATTCACCTTCCACTATTTGGGATGGAGCATCTTAGCCTTCACATTGCACTCTGGGGAATGGAGCATCTGAGCATTCACAATGCACTCAGATTGCATCCTGGGGAATCGAGCAACGAAGGTTTCCTATTGCATTCTGTGGGATTGTACCCTTAAATTTGAGTAATTTAAGCAAATTAGCTAAGTAATATATGCCCAGATTTGAAATAATCAGATCTGAGGATTATTCTAGTGTCATAGTAATCGGATGAGTAGCTCATAAGACATCAGTAGAACAGAACACGCTCACAGTGCGTAGAATCTAAGATGTTGCACCCTTTGGCAAACATGTCAAAAATTGGACGAACACAAACACAGAATAAACAAAAGTAATGTGGAAATCAAATTTATTTCACATATTAACAGAATATATGTACAACATTTATGTACACATAATAAAAATATTGCCACTACTATTCATATATACACATAATTGCTTCTTCAGTCACTGGGTTTACAATGTTTTATTGAGATTACAGAAGAGTGGGACAAACACAAATTGAATAAGAATGTATTGGAATTCATAAGGTTTATTTTACATATCAATAAAAATAAGTATTTATTTTTATTTTAATAATACCTAAAAACAGTGACCTCTACAAAACCATTGTACAAACTCAATGTCAAATAATTGCACCTTATACAGTATGTGATTAAAGATGTACTCCAAAACTCCTATAACTTTATTGGAGACTTTTATGTGAAATATTTGAATGTGGGTAAACATGTGAAATAATTGAGCGTATACCTATGTCAACTTTTTACATATTGGAAAGCACAAACAGACAAAATTCAAACATTAATTCAAATAAGAGGCCCGAATAATTGTCACTATACAGATTTGAAGAAAATAATTAAAATTTGATTTTTAATCAGTATTTTCTCGTATTTCACATACTTGTCACAAGACTTCAATAAAGCAATATGAATGATCTCAAGAGTGAAACTTCAATGTAATCACACCATCAAAAAAAATATACCTGAAAAATGCAAATTGCAATGATAAGCATTAGTAGACTCTTGTTTTGATGTGTTGTTGTTCATCAGGCAAAAAAAATGTTTTAGGGTTTATCTAAATGATAACTGAATATCAATTACTGTTATGAATGTCATAATATTCTGTACATCACAACACTAATTGTAGAAGATAAAACTCATAACAAAGGTGAGTTTGTGGCCAATAATA